GCGAGGCTCAAGATGGCTCTGGAGATGTAGTGCTCACGTTCGCTGACGGTTCCACCGCACAACACAGCGCTGTAATTGGATGCGACGGCATCAAGTCTTTAACGCGAAAGTGGCTAGTTGGGAGAGATAACCCTGCCTCCAAGGCTGTATTCTCCGGAAAGTACGCTTATCGAGGGCTGATACCTATGGATGAAGCTGTGAAGATACTGGGTGATGATGCAGCGCGGAACAGCCAGATGTATCTTGGATACCATGGCCACTTGCTCACCTTTCCAATTGCGCATGGCAAAACGATGAACGGTAAGGCTAGTCATCGTCGAAAGTGCTGTCTTGCTAACAGCCACAGTGGTTGCATTTAGCTCTCGCGATACCTGGGAAGACGAGAAGTGGGTTGTGGCCACATCGAAACAGGAAATGGAAGACGACTTCCAAGGCTGGGGCCCACATGTCACGAAGATTGTCAAGGCCATGCAGAAGCCAGACATCTGGGCGCTGTTCGAGCATCCACCCTGCGACACATACACGAAGGGCCGCGTTTGCTTGCTTGGAGATGCAGCGCACGCGACCACGCCTCACCAAGGGGCTGGTGCCGGCCAGTGTATAGAAGACTCTTACATCCTCGCCAATCTGGTCAAGGACGCGAACGACGTCAATGGTTTGCAGCGAGCATTCAGCGCCTTCGACCAAGTCAGACGAGAGAGGACGCAGAAGATCGTGAAGACAAGCCACGAAGCTGGTCAAATGTATGAATTCGAACTGTTCGGGGACGACCTTGACAAAATTGAGGAAAGCTATAAGCATAGAATGCGATGGATTTGGGACATTGACTTAGAGGCGCAATTGGAGCAAGCGCAGCAGGTTATGAACCAATGAAATTGAGATATGTTCCCCAAGTCATACTCCGGCCGACAAGTCTCGATGCTCGACAAAGCCTCGTGTCTAATCAATGACATCGTCTCTCAGAGCGAAGATCTGCTTCAACACTTCGTCTGTCTTGGCACCGATCCCGTTGTGATACATTGTGTTCGTGATGAAAGTCTTGCAGCCTTTGATGGTGTTCGCCGTCTCCATACTCAGGTCGAGGTCAACGTACATGTCGTCCATGTAGACTGCAGCATACGCCGGTACCTCGTTCTTTCTCAATTGCTCTTTGTCGTACAGTTGCGGCCAATCTTTCTCTTCAGCTAAGAGGTTACCAACAGTCTTGAGCTTAGCGAGCTCCGGGTAAACATCGAACATGAAAGGGTAGATCATCTCGCCTGTGAAGTAGACAGGCTCATCTCCATCTACGCGCGAGAGTGAGAACTCGGGATATTTCGGGAGTAGGCGTTCCGCAGACCAATTCGAGGCCTGGCCTTGACAGTAGATGGGTTCATGGAGGAGAGCATAGATGACGTTAGAGTCCCAGCTCTGCGCTGCCTCCAATGCGAGTACAGTAGGTCGTGTAAGATGTCCGAATTGGGTCAGATCGGTATCGGCGCGAAGCACAAACTCGTGGACGTCATCGAAGCCTCCGTGCTTGCCAAAGTAGATTCCCAGTTGTAGAAAGCGACGTGCAGAGAGATAGCCTTCGCCGCCTTGTACACGCACCGTAGTATCTCCGAAACGTGAGAGAAGCTTGACAATGCGTTTGACGCGGTCGACATCTTCAGGATACTTCGCGTAGTATCCCTCGTTCCTGCTCTTGACACGCGCGTAAAGCCGCTCGTAAACTTCATCAGGCCCGTCTCTGAGGGGTGGCAGGCCGCCGAACAGGAACGCCTCTTTGACTCCCTCGGGGAAGAATGACAGATAGGTCAAGCAGCAGAAGCCGCCGAAGCTCTGACCCATGATACTCCATTTCTTCTTCTCTTCGGGATAGTCTTCTGTCAGGGCTTTCCTTACAGCCTCACAGTCTTTGACGATACTATCAGCCCTGAAACTCTTCATATACTCTGCTTGTACCTTCTCATCGCCTCTCAATTGTAGACTTGACTGGCTGATGGCAGTTGAGAGACCAGTGCCACGTTGATCCAGCATGAGCACTTGGTAGCCTTTCTCGAGAATGGTCTGAGTCCAGGATACCTTCTCGGGACTACGACATTCGAAGCCCGGGCCGCCCTGTAAGTAGACGAGCCATGGGAGTTGAGTTTTCGCGCGATCGAGGTGCGAAGTGGGTGTGTAGTCTGCAGGCTTCTCGGCTTTCAGAGCCGAGCGAGCGAAGAGTTGGATCGTTCCTGCTGAAGGGTTCACTTCGAGATGGAACTGTCAGCACAATCTTTGTCATCGCTCAATTTTCAGATCAGTTGCCTTATCCAAGGCCATAAGTTTCAGATTCATCTGTTGTCTAATGAATGAGAGGACTGCATACAGTAATCTCTGGGTACCTGGAAGAAGTGCTCCGTTATCCGGAGCTTGCCTATCTGTAATTAGCCATGAGTCGTTGTAGATAAAACAGAAACAACGTAATTACCAGGCACCAAGTGACTTCTCTGCTCGAGGATCTTTGCTGCTTGTATCATGTTCGTAGTTGAACAAGTGTCGGGTGCAAAGTGGGGAGTGAATGTATACGGTCTTATCGATAAGCCCCCAACTCCGTAGTGCCTGCTCCGAAGGATTGGCGATATTGAAGGCGCTGCACGCGACAATCCGCAACCGTAAGTTTGCGCTTAATCGTTACAATAATTACGATTCAAACACTCTAGCCTTGTTCGACCCGTCATTCGCATCACTAGGAACAAGGCGGTGTATCATCAACGTCGGCGCTGGGAAAATTTACAACTGAGGGGCAAACGCGGAGAACTTTCCACCGCAGACCGAGTAGTCACCACACTGCCTTTACACAACTGCGTCGTCTCGATTTCGAATCTGAAACATGGCTAAAGATAAGAAGAAGGCGGCAGCGGGAGGCAAAGCAGCAGCTAAGGCTGCAAAGGCTGCTAAGCAAGAGAAGAAGGCAGGCAAGAAAGACAAAAAGGTCGCATCCAAAACACAGGAAGTCGACTCTGATGCGGAAGATGTTGACCTGGATGATATCTTAGCCCAATATGCAAAAGAGCAGGAACAACACCATGCTATCACCGAAATACCCGCTGAGCCGCCGTCTGCCCGAACTTCGAGCACGCTCCTCGCCAACCCAGCGAACGAGAATGAGATCTTCTTGTTCGGAGGCGAATACTTCAACGGAGCCACCGCCAAGTTCTTCAACGATCTCATGATTTACAACGTCAAGCAGGATTCTTGGAAGCAGGTCACAAGTCCGAACTCACCACTTCCTCGATCTGGACACGCTTGGTGTCGCGCTGCCAACACGAAAGAAATCTACCTGTTTGGTGGAGAGTTCAGCTCTCCGAAGCAAGGGACCTTCTATCACTACAACGACTTCTGGAAGCTCGATCCGGTCTCTCGAGAATGGACGCGCATGGAGGGAAAGAGCAAGACCGCTGCCCCACCAGCACGGAGTGGACATCGCATGGTTGGCTTCAAACAGTACATCATCTTATTTGGAGGTTTTCAGGATACGTCTGCGACTACCAAATACTTGAATGATCTTTGGATCTACGACTGCGTCAACTTCTCATGGCACACGCCAAAACTGCAAGCAGCTCGCGCAGTACCAGATGCACGATCGAGTTTCAGTTTGTTGCCGCACGAGCAAGGCGCAGTCATCTATGGCGGTTACTCTCGTGTCAAGACGCAGGCTGGTGGCAAGCAACAGCAACAAGGCAAGGGCAAGAAGAGCAGCAGTGGCGGTCCGGCATCGCGCATGGTGCTAAAGCCTAAGGTTCACGACGACACCTGGTTCATACGTATCACACCACCACCTGCTGATCAACCATCCACTACCCTTCCAACTGTGTCTTGGGAGAAGCGAAAGAAGCCCGCGAATGCGCCAAACCCACCACGTGCAGGTGCGACAATGGCTTACCACAAGGGTCGCGGTGTTCTTTTCGGTGGTGTGCATGATGTAGAAGAGAGTGAAGAGGGCATTGACTCTGAGTTCTTCAATCAGCTGTTCATCTGGAATGTCGAGCGCAACCGATATATGCCACTCACTCTACGTCGGCCGAAGCTGAACGCAAACAAAAAGGCTGCACAGCAAGCGAACATCAGCCGACGGGATCGTGGCAAGGCCGCAGAAGAAGAGCTGCTGGCTAATCTCAAGGCTCTCGAAATGAAAGCCGGTGTAGTTACAGATGCGGATTCTGACGACGAAGCGAAGAAAGCGAAGGAAGAGGAAGAAGAGGAAGAGGCACGTCCAGAGAAGCCGAAGATATTCGAGTTCCCACATCCACGTTTCAACGCCGCACTTACGGTTCAAGCTGATACACTCTATATCTACGGTGGTACCTACGAGAAAGGCGACCGCGAGTTTACCTTTGACGAACTCTGGTCTGTCAATCTCAACCATCTGGATGGTGTCACCGAAATCTTCAAGCGCGAGCTCGAAGACTGGCAAGGCAGTGAGGATGAAGCCGATTCGGACGAAGAAGATGAGGAAGACTCTGAGGACGATGAAGAAGGTGAGGAGGACGACAAGTCTGTATCGACAGCACCCACGAGTGTCACAGAATCTCCTGCCGTTGCACCCATTCACTCCGAAGACCTTGGTCCCCAGGAAGAGATATCCGCGCTCACCGACACGCTTCCACACCCCCGTCCCTTCGAATCCTTGCGCGACTTTTACGCGCGCACTTCAGAGCAATGGCAGAATATCATCCTGGAAGAGTTGGACAGGAAGGGAAAGAGCGCAGAGAAGAGTCCGAAAGAAGTCAAGAAGATGGCATTCGAGAGGGCAGAGGAGAAGTGGTGGGATTGCAGGGAGGAGATTCGTGCGCTTGAAGATGAACAGGAGGCAGCGGGCATCGGTGAGGTCGTTAGTCTGGCGGATAAGGAAGGCGCTGGAGTGGGGAGGAGAAGATAGTACCAGAGACGAGCTTGCGGAAGTTGAAGCTTGGCATGTACATATATTGCTCAAGAACAAAAGTCTAGTTGAAGAAATAAAAACGCTATCGCCTAATTTACATGATGGCCTCAACTACTTCAGACACCCAGTCTAGCTGGACTGAACTGACACGCTTCGCCCACGCCTTGCCAGTAAATACAAACTCATCAAACACAATAGCCTCCAATTTCTTTCCAAACAGCACTGAGCTGGGATGAATTGCCACCGTTTGGTTACCAATCATCGTCTTGTAGCTACCATCTGGCATCAATCTTGCTGTATTGGAGATGAAACCACGCAGCATACATGCCAATATGGCTTGACTCCTAGCCTCCGAAGGTGCGCTATCAGACTCTTTGTCGTCAGCTGCGAGCAATTTCTGCTGTCTACATTGTTCCCGCAGTTGCTTCCTGATGTTCATTACGTTCTCCATTGCGCGGTGGGATACGTAGTGCTTGTCACACCAAGCGCGACGCTGTGACTTCAGTTCGGCGGCGTATCGCTGAACAGTAATGAGAAGTGTGAGGTGATCGCCTTCTCGACGATATAGCTCACGCCGGACTTCCTCTGCCTCTTCTTTGCGCTCTTCGGTGACAAGATTCAGGAAGACCTCTTCGACGCTGAGTGCGGATATGATATCGATCACGTCGAGTAGGCAGTCGCGCTCTGGCTTTGCTGCTTCGACTAGCACTCGGCCTAGCGTGGGCATGAGCGGGAACTTGGCAATCTTGAGACCAATATCGCTAATTTCACCGGTATCTGTCAACGCTTGCAAGTGCAGTAGTTGCAGAAGAGCTTTTTCTAGAGCTTCTCGTGGTGGCCGATCAAGGAATGGAAAGCCGAGTACGTCATCAACACCTCGCGCCTTCATTGTCAGAATAGCCTGACTGAGGTCGCAACGCAAAATCTCAGGCGTGGTACGTTCTTCCATAGTTTTGTAACCGTTTTCAGTATACAACCGATAACACTGGCCGGGCGCTTCACGACCAGCTCGACCTTTGCGTTGGATAGCTGCGGACTTGGAGATAGGCTTCACAAGCAGCGATTCGAGACCTAGGCGACTGCGAAATTGCTTTATCTTCGATTTTCCGCAGTCAATCACAAAGCGAATGCCAGGGACAGTGACTGATGTTTCGGCGATGTTGGTTGCGAGGATGACACGGCGTGTGCGATAGGGCGTTGGCTGGAAGATGCGCTGTTGGGCGTGTTGTGGAAGGGCGGCGAAAAGAGGTAGCGCAAGAAGTTTAGGGACGTCGTCGTCCATGTTCTCAGCATAGTCGTTGATGAGCTTTTCGAGTCCCTCGATAGTATCTTGACCTGTGAGAAAGACCAGTATGTCGCCTGGCAGAGGCTCCTTGTAATGTATTTGGAAGACGAGCTTGAGAGCTGCTTCGACCCAGTCTTGTGTTGGTTGCGCCAAGTATACTGTTTTGACGGGGTATTGCCGTCCCTCTACAAAGCATGTCGAAACGTTTCCTTTACTTTCCGTAGTAGGTTTCGCGATCGCCTTCTCGGTGTTCGACACAGGCTGACTGTCTCCGAAGAACTTGACGAGACTTTCCACGTCTGCCGTAGCACTCATTACTACGACTTTGAGCGGATGCTTCCTCGCCACGCTACCTTCTTTAGCGGATAATAGATTGCGTAAGAACCCAAGGATCAAGTCGACATTTACACTTCTTTCGTGGACCTCATCTACTACAACGGCGCTGTACTGCAACATGTTGGGATCTCTGAGCATCTCTTGAAGCAGCATACCCTCCGTCAGAAACTTGACTTTGGTGTGCTTTCCAGCCGCAGTGTCGAAACGAACGCTATATCCAACCTTGGCAGTAGGGCCTTTGTCTCCAAGTAAGCTACCCATCTCATCCGCGACGCGTCGTGCCAGGGAGATCGCCGCCACTCTTCGAGGTTGCGTGATCGCTATACACCCGGTACACCAGGACTCATTGGCCAAAAATTGCGGCACTTGTGTCGATTTTCCGGAACCAGTCTCTCCGGTCAGCACGAGGACGTTGTTTCTTTGCAGAGCTGCTCTGATGATGTCCGCTTGAGGCCATATTGGAAGCGACTTGCGGACAAGCCGCAACTCATCACGCTTCTGAATGACATGCGACGGCACTCTTAAGTCTTGTTGAGAGGTACGAGGTCTGTCGGCCTGTTTGTTCTTTGGTCGAGCTTGTTGTCCGGGGTTTGGTTGAGGTGCATCTAATTTCGTGCGCTTGTACGCCTCTGCTTGCCGCGCAACTGGAGTTTCGACAACACTTTCCGTTCGTTTGGGCTCGGCGACGGGCTTAGGGTGCTCTGCAGTAGAACTGGGGGTGTCATCGTCGGAATGGTCGAACTTGATCAACACGCCGGCTCCCTTCTTGCCACTCCAGCCATCTTTCGCTGGCTGAACTCTCTTTCTCTTCTTGCCTTTCTTCAGTTCCACGGGGAGGTCCTTCGCGCCGTCAACTTTTGGTTCGCTGCTCTTTCCGTTGGACATCTTCGTTGTTGCGATTGGAACCCGCGTTTCACGTTGCCAAAACTTTTCCGCTCTTCCCAAGATCGTTATCGATAAGCCTACTAGCGTGCTACGCGCGTGCACGTGCCGGTGGCCCACAGCCCCACCTGGGCACATTCTCGGTTGCGCACATCACCGGTTGATCACTCATCGCATTGCTGATGTGTAGCAGGACGTGACTGTATCTCATGGTGTTCGGTGGTATTTATCCCGACGCTATGCAATCAATGGTTGACCCCGCCGCTGGGGACGATCAACCGGGAACTTAATCAAAGTAGGGCGGGAGAGGATGCCGTCATAAGCTATATAAAGACGAGCGGGTAGAAGCGTTGCTAACGAATCACAAAGCCATTATGTTTCCACTGCGACTAAGGAAGTGGGCCAAAGTTCTATATTTACTCTCTCTCACATCGCCTGTCGTGGAGAGCAAAATCGATCGCAAGTCGATTGTCCAGCAGTATAATATCAAGCTCAGCCAATCGAACCCATACAGCCCAGTCCAGGTTGGCAACGGAAACTTCGCGTTCGGTGTAGACATTACCGGACTCCAGACCTTTCTGCCGCACAATACTCTTTCATCCTGGGGATGGCACAACCAATCTCTGCCAACGACACCAAATCAAACGCTTCCATCAGACTACACTGGTGTTGACTGGTGGACCCACGATCGCCTCGTCAACTATGCGCAGCCCAACCCAGAACAGAAGGACATCAGTCAATGGATGATTGCGAACCCACATCGTATTAATTTGGGAAGAGTTGGACTGTGGTTCGGCGGCATCGCAGGAGGGAACGTCACCGAAGACCTACTTGCTGGTAAAGAGCAGGTGCTGGAGCTCTGGGAAGGTGTCATCAAATCCACTTTCTTTATCAACGGAGAAAAGGTTGTGGTGACAACTGTTGCAAGTCCGGAAACCGACACTATCGCTGTAGACATATCGTCCAGCCTGGTAAGGACTGCAGGACTGGGCGCTTTCTTTGATTTCCCGTATGCGACGGGGAAAAATAAGTTCGATGCACCATTTGTTGGTCTCTTCAACGCTACTTCCAACCATTCCACGACGGATGAATACAGGAACAGAGGTGCGACGATCACGCATGTACTGGATGCAACAACATACACGGCCGATATCGCTTGGGAAGGTTATGCCCGCCTCTCGCGCCTGCACAGAAACGAGCACAAATACATCCTAGCCGCCAGTCAGAGATCTGAGACGCTCTCGTTCACTGTTACATACGCTCCTCGGGTGGCCAATGTCTCTTACACTGCAGAGACAGTCAAGCAAAAGTCACAAAGCTGGTGGGCAGACTACTGGTCGACTGGTGCATTCGTGTCACTTCCATCAGCCAACAATGCCTCTGCGAATGAGCTACAGCGTCGCACCATCCTTTCTCAGTATCTTCTTGCGGTCAACGGGGCTGGTAACGATCCCCCACAAGAGTCTGGCTTGGTGAACAATGGATGGTACGGCAAATTTCACCTGGAAATGGTCTTCTGGCATCTAGCCCATTGGATGTTCTGGGAGAAATGGGACCTCTATGATCGCAGTATCGGCGTCTATGAGCGCTTTCTACCCAGCAGCTTCGAACGAGCTGAAAAGCAAGGATACGAAGGCGCGCGCCTCGGCAAGATGAGTGACCCAAGCGGTCGATCTGCGCCAGGCGAGATCAACAGCCTACTCATCTGGCAACAACCGCATCCCATGTACTTCGCCGAGATGGAATACCGATCTTTCCCGACCGAAAAGACTCTCGAGAAATGGGATGAGATTCTGACAGGCGTGGCGGACTTCATGGCCAGTTATGCCTTCTGGAATTCCGCAACGAATCAATACGATCTTGGGCCGCCCATGTATCCAGTCTCTGAGAATACTAATCCCAACGAGACGATTAATCCGACGTTCGAGCTAGCGTACTGGCGCTTTGGTCTCGACGTAGCGTCGAAGTGGCAAGCGCGGCAAAACAAATCTACTCCGGAGTCCTGGGTACACGTACGAGACAACCTAGCGCCTTTCCCCATTGAAGAGGACGCGTATGTGACGTATGAGGGTATACCAAACATGTGGACTACCCCCGAATATACAGAAGATCATCCGGGACTTCTAGGTATATATGGCTGGTTGCCCCCAGACTCTCGCGTGAACATGACAATCTTCAACAACACCATCGCCAAAGTACACGAGACCTGGAACTTTCCCTTTTCATACGGCTGGGATTTCCCACTGCTGGCTATCACAGAAGCGAGGAGAGGAGATGCGGAACGCGCAGTTAGTCAGTTGCTTGACGTGAACAATGCTTTTGATGAAGTAGGAATGCCAGAGGGGGGAACAAGAGTGCCGACGCCGTATTTTCCGAGCTCAGCGGGCTTACTACTTGCGGTGGGGATGATGTGTGGTGGCTGGGATGGGTATAAAGGGCCAGTATGGCCGTCGCACTGGGATGTAGAGTGTGAGGGTTTTACGCGGGCCATGTAGGGTGATTGCTGAAACACATCATTCATACACCACGAGTATTCCTAAGCGTCGTTCTCTTCGTCCCTTTCCTCTTCACTATCCGCTTCTGGAAACTCCCCCATCTCTATGAGGACGTTTGCGAGAGCAACACCCTGTTGATCTAGAAGTGAAACGCCCAGGTCTAGCATTTTCTTCACATTATACCTAAATCTCTTCCAGGTTTCCATCCTTCTCGTGTCCGCCACTTTCATCTTCTCTCGCCAGAGAAATGGCTCTCTTTCGAGATAGTCGTTGACTGAACACATGCGAATGGCATGTAACTTCCTGTCCGGCGGCAACGACCCGACGACCTGAAGCAATGACTCTAGAGTTTGAACTCCGTAACCAATGTTCTCTGGAAACCGACGAAGTACAATCTGAGTGACTGATACAGGGACATCACAGAGAGGCCCTGTGGCATCGAAAGTATCAAATACTTCCAGAGAGGATGTGTGATCAAAGACCTCGGACATGTTGGCCAGTTGGCTATCGTCAAATTGCAGCATTCTCAAGCCGGCACCGTACTTTGCCATAAAAGCAGGCAGATTACTCAATTTCCTCCAGTTATCGTGCGGCTTCCGGATTGCAAAAGCTGAAAGCTTGGGCATAGCCGAGTGTGTGAGCCAGCCTATTAGCTCATTAGTGGCGTACTCTGCATCCAGCTCGACCAAGCGCAGATGAGGGAACTCAGATGATTCAACATCGTCCAAGCCGCGCGTTCGGCCTCTAACCCCCATGTGGAGGTCTCTGAGGGCTGTGAAATGTTTTAAAAGAGAAAGCGCTTCCTGAATACGGATGAGGCGACGTCCAATGTATATAGACAGCTTTGTAAGTTGTGGGTCGTGAGAGTGTACAATAGCTGCGATTTGCGGACGCTGGAGAACAAAACGACAAAACAATTCGCTTAAGTTCGTCATGCGGGAGAGCAGAGTGGGCAATGCAGCTTGCAACGCCATCAAGGCTGGTTCAGTAGGGCTTACGCCCTCATCTCTTTGGATCCAGAATGAGCGCACCCAAGAAGCTTTCGGAGCATCGGATTCGATGGCACGGTCAAGGAGACAGGCCAAAGCTGTGATGTGGTTGGACGCTAGATCGTTGTTGCCGTCGATCGTTAAATGGCGGTAGACAAGTGGCTCTACCAAGTCCTGCGAGAGGTCAGATAAAAACACAATGGTTTAATCTGGATTTTTTTGTACCTTCCACGACTTGCACACATATTGCAGTCTCTGTAGATCACATGTTCGTTCTCTTCTATACTTGAGAGACTGGTTGAAAATGTGGGTGTCGTAAGTGACCACATGCTCGAATATGGTGAGCCATAGTTCGGTGGGTAAAGCGGGTAAGGCTCGATGCTCAATTAGCCGTCCAGGGGTTATGTCCATGATGCGATCGAAGTGAATTAGAAGACAGGAGGGTCAGTTGGGTGACGTTGCTTGGAAGGTGGATTTGTCTCAACACAGGCTAGCGCAGATCTGGTTAGACAGACCCCCGAGATCAGGCGAGCCGGGCTTGCATGTCATTACATCTACTTGGGGGCAAATGCTAGAACACCCTGAAGCATACTACTTCTGCAATCTCCAATCCCTTCATCAGCTGCTCCGACTCCACAATTCACCTTTGCGGTGACGATGTGTGCGATACGCCACGCTTGTAAGTCCCTCTCACAGACCGCCAACCATGACTAGAGCTATGTCTCCATGAAGTCCTTCATGCTTGTTGTCCACGAGGTCATCTTTGAATTGGGTGTCCTCGCACATGCCATAAACGCTTTTGACAAGTCCAGCGTGAAGGCGAGCGGCATGTCGTCAATGTGAATAGCCCATTTCTCGTCCGCTTCTCTAACCCACACATCAACCATGAAACGCCTGCCAGGGGACCCCTCCGGAGTTCCATCGTATATAGTCTTGATTATACTGGGGCCTGGACGTAGTCGCTTGTAGAAAGGCTGGTTGAGCATGGCGTCACGGAAGACAATCAAGACGGCGTTCTTGAAGGCTGTATCCATGAGTATTTCTCCCATGACGAGGCTGTTGCTAAGCATGCAGATCTCACGGTCGAACCTCCCTGTACTCTTTGTAGCGGCAGTAGGGAATGTCTTGAAGTACAGCCAGTGGAGGTAGATCTTGAAGATAGCGGGGTCTTCGTCGACAAGAGTGACGGTGCGCGCATCAAGACGAGATGCTGCCCACTCTTTCTTCATGGCGTTGTCGAAGAACTTTGAGCTTCTCCTGATCACAGCTTTATGGACCGGAAACTTGCTTCCTTCCTTGCCAACGTCCACTGTGATGAGGTCCAAAAGGCTAAGCACTATTAATATTTCATCCTTTCTGAGAAGTGGAGAAGTCACTCGAAGGCGTCTGTCTGCAGGATTCGCCCATATTCTGACTTGAAATCGACCGCCGGTTCCTCAATCTGTCCCGACATCGCCGCAGAAGATAGTCGATCGGAGGCTGTGGTCAATTTTGTCGCAGTGTCTTGGAGGGGGAGTCGAGCGAAGATCAGGATAAATAAGGATGGCTCGAGCAGATTTTCATAGCGTCTCTAGGCTCGGTGAAGGTGAAGATGGGTCGTGAGAACGCAGTGTCGCGCAGCAAACAAAGTGAACCATAAAAAGACAAGCGCCCTTGCCGTATCGGGACAGAGCGAGTTAGGGCATGTTAGGGTGTCCATGGCATGTTATCCTTATTTACATTCTTCACAGTATAATACAGGGTCGTAACTTCGTTCCTCAAGACCATCGAATCTTCATCTTCCACTGATCCAGCTTGGCCTCCCACCATGTCTTCTGAGGCGCCCGCTCGATCTCCTCCATCAGTCTGGTATAGTGCTCCGGCGCAGATGTTGGCTTCAGTACACCCGGTGATAGCGCATACTTTGTGCTATATCGGTTCTCTAGTAACGAGAATAGTGCGTTCACTTGGGCTTGCTCGAGCTTGGGATTCGCAGGCGGCGAAGATGCGGCCGGTGTTGTAGGTGCGGGCGCTTGGGGCTTTGCGCCCTCTTCGGGGGTAGGTGTTATGGGTTGGACGCCGAATGGTTTGCCATGATGCTCGATTGCGCGTGTGAAGGGTAAATTTGGGCGCAGAGCGTCTTTTGGCCAGAGAGCGAGGAGACGGGTGTATTGCTTTGTTATCTGGACCATGTCAGCTGACTATTTTGCAATGCACTGCTGTGTACTCACAGTATTCGCCATGGTTGTGTGTGAATTGAGAAAAAGTGAAGTTCTTCACCTTGTCGGGTCTCAAAGTCGATGATGCTTCGGTAACCAGGGTCCAGGCGCTATTGGATCGTGGCGCAGCAGCCGTGTCGCATGGCCCAAAAGCGAGCAACTTGCATTTGAAACGCCTCCTCCACTGCACCTGCCGCCTGACACGCTCCACCCACCTGCACCTCCCTCCTACAACCGCCGTCTCTCTCGTCCACGCTCGCTGCCTTACCTATTCCTACGACTCCCGCCTTGACGACACCCGATAGCAGATATCCCATCGCCCCCTTCACGTCACGCATCCGGTTATCCGCGCAACATGCCTAGCCAGGGCTACGAGAGGGTGCGTTGCCCCGGTCCATCCCGACCACCATGCGACTGCGCGAAACCCCTATATTGCTTTCGCAACGACAGCACTAATGCGTTAATCCAGGTAGCCGCCCAAGACGAAGAAGACTCTCCCCAGACGCTGCAACCCGGCCAGCAGTGGCCCCCGGCCTCGCCACCACCCTCCTTCCACTCGCGCGCATCATCACCAAACGGCACATCACGGCATCTCCTATCCGAGGATCCGATAACGAACGAAGAAGACCGCACACTCGCCGATACCTTCGACTCGGATTCGGATGACGACGACGATAACGATGGGCGCGACGATCGGCAGCGGCTGATGCGGGGAAATCCGAGGACAGAAGAGGAAGCGGCGCCACCGGGCATCCAAAGGAGAGTGACGGAACTGCCAGTATTCAACACACAAGCGCCCACTCCAGGACGGGTGTACGGTGGAGGAAACGGTGGTGTCTGGGCAAATCTCAGCGCAAAGCCTACCAGAGGGGAGGATGCCGAGGAGAAGCCTCCAGTACGTATCAGATTAACGATAAGTCGCGTGAATCACTGCTAACATGCATCAGACATATGAACAAGCTGCCGCAGACGCGACACCACCCTACTGGGAAACCACCATCCTCGCTCCCGGCACTTTTGGCGATGAAGTCTTTGTCGAAGGCCTCCCCGTCGGCTCCCTCTTCAGCTTCCTCTGGAACGCCATGATCTCCATGTCCTTCCAACTCGTCGGATTCCTCCTCACCTACCTCCTCCACACGACCCACGCCGCAAAGAACGGATCCCGCGCTGGTCTCGGTATCACGCTCGTGCAGTTCGGTTTCGGATTCCGCTCCGCCGTACTCTCCCCGAACAACGGTAGCAACGATAACCCCGGACAAGGGTTCGACGGTGGCGTTCCAAACGACCCGAATGCGCACGACTTTGACCCGGACAAGGTCGGCAGTGGAAACACAGGGGGTAGTGATATGACACCCGCAGCGAGTGCCATCACAGGCAGTGACTGGATAGCGTACGGCCTGATGATTGTCGGCTGGTTCATCTTGATCAAGAGTGTATCGGATTTCATTCGCGCAAGGCGGCACGAACAACTCGTTCTCCAGTCTCCCGATCGGGGGCTGGGTGTGGCGGTGGTCGCCGAGGGTGAAAGTCCAGAGCGCAGTGTATAATTTCTTCAAACGAGCCTCAGACTGGCATCTTCTTTTCTTTCCTTTCATAGCGTATTACTTGGTTGCATCTAGGGACGGCGTTTACTATTGGCTAAAGACAGATCGAAAGACACGCGCTTCGCTGTTGTAGCAGCACATTACCGCACGATTTTCCTTATACACCTATCTATTACTTTATTATCCAAATCCCCTTCCGGAGTTTCTTCCACACGAAGTCCGTCACCACTCAGCTACTTCCCCTGTCCTGATGCAAATTCACTCTCTAGCGTCATCAAATGCTCAGCTCAAATCACACATGACGGTAGTAGAGATATGTTGAATTAGTCTATTGGCTAGTGTATATGCACAACATGTGCTGGGTATCTTTGGGGTAAAAATCTCAAAACAGCTCTTGGCAAAGCGCTCAAATCCTGTAGACGAAATCAAATCATGTGCCTGATGATACTTTAGCAAGCATCTCTTTAGATGAACCGCGGACATGACTTACCACAAGGAACCGCCGCGCATGAATCTTTGGCACAGATTTAGCATGCGACCTATCAAAGCTGCGGATTGTTACATCATAACGCACTTTTCAGTCGCATACACTTCTCCGTACTGGTCCACACCTGCCATCATCTCGTTGTACCGCTGCTTGTTCTTGACTTCCTCTGGGAACCATTTCTTAAGGAAGGCTGCCTGTTCGGTATCGAGATTGTCTGTCATGTCGTTAATGTTTTGACTTTCAGTTATACGCCATATGAATACTCACCTGAGTTTGCATCGAACACTGTCTTCTCGCGGCAGAACGGACAGTTGTATTGCTTGTTGTTTTGCATGACGATCAAGCACCGGATGCAGAAGGTATGGTTGCAGCTAAGCTTTACAGGCCGCCATTGGATCTCCATGCACATAGGGCAAGAGTAGTCGTCTATCTGCGGGACGTGGGATAGGATTTGTGTGTTGACTTCTGCGCAGACGGCTTTGGCGAGGTGTTCCGAGAACTCTGGGTATTCTACCTGACGCGGGAATGTGGACTTTACGCCTAGCGCTGTGCGTTTATCAAATTCTAGTGACATGTTAGTTCAGCGTCTCCATGTTTGTTAGGATATGGGGGTATTTACTCTTGAGGATCTTGATCATGGCATTATGGTTGATCTCACCGAATCGCAGGCCCTGGAGAATCTCCCGGTTGATGTGCATGAAGGTGTTGAGTGCTTGTAGATTCTCCTTCTTCTTCAGTTGTTCCACCAAGCCAGCCTTGGCAATCTTATTTGAGAATCCTGCCAGTCTCGCCATGGCCTTCTCCGAGTCGTGCGATTTGTGGTCCATCTCTGTTGTTCCAAAGAAGATGCCTTCTTCCACGTATATCTGGAAGATTTGACGCCAAGCAGTGAGCATTTTCCTGTTGGCTCTCCGGTCTGGATCCGTCAATTTTGCAACCTGCTTCCCTAATGCTTCGATTTGGACATTCATTCGCTTTTGCTCCCGCTCCTGCAATTTCTCCAGTCCTGTAACTTCACTGGTAAGCCTGGTGAAGAACTCCGTATCCGAGGTGATGGGAACCTCGACTGTACGGTACCCTGGTCGGTTGCGAGAAGCATTGGTCGGGGTGGTAATTATAGGATGGGATGGATCTATGGAGTCGATGGATTGGAGTGACGAGTTTGAGTCGTCCAAGACGCGCATATCAGACATGCCCGTCTCGATGGCCAGCATCTGAAGCTTGCGCCTGGTATCATCGTCCAACTGGGCACTCAGTACCTCTCCACTCGATTCATTTACGTAGAAGAGGAGCTTTGGATGGAATGCCTTGCGCGAGGGCGATGCATTATCCTTGGCATTATCGGGGTTGAGAATGTACTCGAAAGGTCGTTCCTGATCATCGTCTTCTTTGGTAGAAGCATTGTAGTCTTCGACATGTTTGAGTAGTTTGGACAAGGTGGCAGGGTCAAGGCCCACTTGCCGCAGCTCGTCGGTAAGCCTCTTGATGCATTTCTTGAGCTGCGAGTAAGAGATAGCCGAGTCGACCCACTCTGGCGGGAAGCCCTCATCCCGGAGAGTCTGCTTGAACAGATGGCCGAACTTCATGTTTGGAGCAGGGTTGACGAGGTACCGTGGTAGGGCTGGCCGATCAGAAGGCGCAAAGGAGGCACGTGGGGAGCTGAGTGGTTGCGACCCTTAGCGGGGTACCTTCCACGCTTGTTCGGCCACAGTTCCGGGTCGGGCTAACGAAGCGTTCCAGCGATCACCGCCCTGGGATATGCAGATGCGGCTGTGTAGTAGAGAAGGATTATTGGGAACGAAGTGTCAAAGAGTCCCAGATGTGTGGTGGGGGGGAAGAAATGGTGTTGGGTGAGAGAATTACGACTTGTCAACAAGGGCGATTTGCTCCGCGGGTCATGCGCCTGTGTGCCTGGAAAGGATGCCGCTAAATGGAGACCCCAGAATTCGATGGAGATTCGTCTTAGGCCATCACGAAGACATGGGGAGGCGCCTCTCTTATGAGGCAAATCAAAGCATGGCGTGTGCCGGCTTTCGGCGCTGTCTAGACTGCGGTGGCTCCAATAGCGCTCTTCTTCAATCACTGTCTGCTCAAACTTTTCGCCTTCGCAGTCCGCGACCAATCAACGCCAAGCGCACAGTCATAGGCGATTTGCTTGCAGTGACGCGACATGGCTCTTCGCGACTCACCCAACTAACACGATGTGAAAGCCGGGGTAGTCTCGGTGTATAGCAGGCTGTCAGCACGCGCACCGAGAAGCTGTGAAAGCTGCACTACAAACTTATATGCTGTCACTCTCCCATACACGCCCACACAACTGAACTGCAGCATCCAGCCACTGCCACTGCAGGTAGTCCGAGACCCGAAAATCTCGAATACGTCCGAACCGTACACCTAGCTGCATCGAGCCAAAGCCACCATGGGTGCATCACAGTCCACCGGCGGCGGCGACGCGCCTAGTAATGCCGGCGAAGTCAAGACAAGTTACTACGAACTACTGGGTGTGGAGCGCAATGCCACCCAAGATGAGTACGTGACACGACGCGCGTAACGTATTCAATACTAACATTTATAAGACTCAAGAAGGCATACCGCAAGAAAGCGCTCGAGCTGCACCCCGACCGAAACTACGGCGATGTCGAACGTACCACTGCCCTCTTCGCCGAAGTCCGATCCGCATACGAAGTTCTCTCAGATGACCAGGAGCGCGCATGGTACGATGCACACGAGAGGGATATACTGCGGGGTACTACTGGCGAGGAGACCGGCGACCATTACCAGGGTGACATGAAGGTTACGACAGCCGACGACATAACGCAGATGATGGGCAAGTTCAGGGGGAATGTGGACTTCTCAGACTCGCCCAACGGCTTCTTTGGCTTCGTACGAGAGACGTTCGAGCAACTGGCGCGCGAAGAGGAGTATGCCGCAGACTATGACGACCTCGATGTACCGGATTACCCTAGCTTTGGTCACAAGGACGATGAGTACGAAGGTGTTGTGCGCGACTTCTACTCAGCATGGAACGGCTTCGCAACTGTCAAGAGCTTTGCATGGCTAGATGAATACAATCCCTCTCTTCAGCCTGATCGCCGCTACCGAAGGGCTGCTGAGAAGGAGAACCAAAAGATCCGCGACGAAGGCAGAAGGGCGTTCAACGATGCGGTCAGAACGCTGGTTGCGTTCGTACGCAAGCGAGACCCACGATATACCCCGAACACACAGACGGCAGAGGACAAGGCCAAAGCACAGCGGGATGCTAGGAAAGCGCAGGCTGCACGAGCAAGAGCTGCGCAGATCGCCAAGATGGAGCAAGAGGAGCAGGCGGTGCCAAGTTGGGCTACCGCACGTCCGGCGGATGAACTTGAAGAGGAAAGCGAGGGTGAAGTCGAGGAAGACGTCTACGAGTGCATTGCGTGTAACAAGACATTCAAGAGCGAGCGACAATACGATGCCCACGAGAAGAGCAAGAAGCATCAGAAAGCAATCCAGGCTCTCAAGAAGAAGATGCAAAAGGACAACGCCCATCTGGACTTGGATGAAGACGCTCTCAAAAGTGACGAGATCCTACCGGTGGAGGATGAGCTTGCAATGGAAGCCGAAGTTTCTGGTGGTGGAGACTCCGATGCATCCGTGAAAAACCTCGCGACAAGGACGAATGAGCTTAACATAGACGACCACAGTACAGACGAGGAAGAAGGCCGTGTGGACCGAGTGGCACCTAGTAACACAATGTCTGCATCGCCCGTCGACTCAGAAACAAGCTCAGACGTTGACGACGAATATGCTTCGCGCTCCGAAATAGAAGCACGACTTGCTGGCGCCAGCACAGAACCCTCCACAGCGCCCACCGAAGATCTCGACTTTAAACCTGAAGATCCCACAGAACCAGAAGTCACCGCTCCGCCGGAACCCAAGCTCGGCAAGGCTGCGTTGAAGCGCATGAAGAAGGCTGCAAAACAGGCTGAGAGCGAAGAGCCCGATGTCAAAAACAAGTGTAATGGCTGCAGCGCTGGTTTCTCGTCCAAGACTCAACTGCATCAGCACTTGAAGAAGCATCCCGAACATGCGGCGCTGAAATCTGTCGCGCAACCGGGTGGTGGGAAGAAGAACAAGAAGCGATAGTAAAAATGATGGCACGAATTACGATCTGTATGAGAGACATGGTATTGATGTATGGTTTGCTTTGGCATAGCGCAGGTGTTTGCTAGAGGCTAGATGATTTGTTAGACTTGCATTGAGCGGTTGTTGCTCGCATTTTCAAAGCGTCTGGATATGCTGCCGCAAAAGTACCGTTCAGAACAGAAATTGTCGCTGATGTTCATCTCCCACTTGCCATCAGTATAATACTTCATATCTTCTCGTATCAGGTTCATGTTCCTGGAGGTTTACCTACTACAGAGCACCTCAAGATGAGACCCGGAAGCCTGCTGGATTTCACTCGAGCATTCTCTTTGTTTGACGCGCGATCATACCCAAGCAAACATAGACATACGACTCACAGTAACGGCTAGATGTGTTTCAAAGTTCTTGAATTCCACGACCGATTCTCATGGGAATTGCCAACAACCATCCGCACGCTGCCCGTCATGTCGCAGGATCAGGAGCTTGTACGATATCAGCGTCTACTCACACTCAACGATATCGGCGGGAAAGCCAATGAGTTAGGTATCGAGGCTACACAAGAAGTGCTGAAAAATGTGCCGTTGGTGTGGTGGGACGTCAAACAGCACATGGACAACGAGAGTGCCGGCTTACGACAGTATGCTGTTCTTTGGTCTTCAGGAGTGAAATGCGCAAAGAGACAAAAGAACAACAGTTGAGAGTAGCGAGCACTGTGATCTCTTCGCCCGACGACGTGTTGGTACAAACAGTTGTTTTCGTTGCTTGAAAATGCCCCAAATGATGCATATGTTGAGAATACCGTGAGGAGAGTCTGTATGAGCGCGTCCGAGCGCTCGATAAGCTTTGGCAAGCCATGGGTGCGTTCGCGAAGTGGAAGTTCTTCCGTGGAGTTAGTGCATATGCGTTTCCACACCCCACTACGCCCCTGCAAGTGCTATCGCTATACACATTATATCTCGGGTAGTCGCCTGACGGAACTCTCGCATTGCCACTTGTGTAGTCATGTTCGCGTTGCTTTTGATACAAGGCTACCAGAAGGCGTGCAAGGCAAGACTAGCGTCTTCAACGGTTGAGGAGTTCCTTTTTCTGGCGTGTGGGTTCTCGAACGTCAGATAATCATGCCTCAAGGTTCTGATGGCATTGCCGTGTGCCGGGTCGAGCATGCGAGCGAATGCGTGAGAGCAGATAAATGATCAACCACCGGGATTAGGCCATTCCATTTCACAGTCAGGCATTCTGTCAATGTCCTGTGCCGCACTCAGCCGTTGTTCCACCAGCCCGTGTCGTATCGGCAAATGAACGATTGTGTTCCTATGTCGGCGAGTATGCAATGTTTCAGGAGCAAGAGTGACGATTGTTGATAGGTGGCAGGGTCTGGGTTTCTCCTTGACATGGCTCCGAACACCAAAAAGGTCACTGATAGTAAGATAGAGGGGCATTCGGGTCTCTATGCGGCGCAGGGTCGAACGGGTTGGGGCGCATTGATCCTCGTCGGATGTTGCGGATCCCACCTTCCTGATTGTGATGCTCGCCTTGCGACGTCCCATCACCTCCATGTACAGTTAGCTGAGGGTATAGAGCTGCAGATGCCAGGGGATAAGTCCACCTGGAGTGTTAAGCTCCCGCGCTAAGCAGCGTGGGCCCTCGAACAAGAGTTCTCCCATTGCATGGCGTTGCTTGACGTCAATGCATCGGGGACTGCTCCAAGACGTTTCCTTCGCGCACTTTTAGTTCTATGGTACTGGGTTGGACTCCAATATGGCGGTTCGCGGCCGGCGTGATTGTTGATGCCCGTTAGCGTTCGCGGTCAGAGTCGCTTGCGTGCGCGTGCTCTCGCCAGCTAGCCAAAGACACGACTAGCCGAGGCTGATGCGTCTTAGCGCCAGGGTCTGACGGAAGCTTCTACCCCTGAACGATCCAGGCGAACAACTCCTATCCACTCTTTCCTGACACCTTCAGATCCTTTTGATCGTATTCCAGGCCATGCACTTATCGTGTCCGGCTCTAGCGGCTCTCTGATAGGGCCTTGATCGAACTGTCAGCTCGTACTTGCCTAGTCTGTCATGGTGTGGGGATAGCCCAGGGGTTCGCATGGACACCCTCCGCTACTAATGGTTAGCTGTGCTCAGTCGACGCTTGTCAGAATGGACGCTCGTATCAAATGGGGCACTATCTGAAGGCGGCTTTTCTCTCGAGTCTTGTCCATTTCTTGGGATTCTTGTCTCTCTCCAACTTCGCCTCTCGACCTCACAACTTACCCTCAGTCATTCGTTAATACAGTCGCGCGTTGTTCACTCGTTATGCAATCATGATGCCAAAGGCGTACCGTCTATCTTTTTCGCACCTCGTCTTTTACATCTCGACCTTTGTGATCGCAACCCAGTTATGGTCCATATGGGGGCAATCGAAACACAACTATATTCCTTTTTCACACCATAGGAATCTTCAGCGAGACTGGGACTTCAACGCCGACCTGCATGCCAATGTGCACACACTCAGCCATGACCAATGCGATTCCGCTTTTCCAAAGCTGTATCACAGCTTAGATCAGTCGGTTAGCCTAAGGCAAGGCAGAAAGGTGCATATTCAGGATATCGAAATCGATCAGGGAAGATGCATGCTACGGGTTATGGTATACGAGGGCGAGGTACGTCTATACGCGTCTGGTCAATTTCCGGGCTACAACTAACCTGCCACTCCTAGCTGTTTGTCGTCGATGCCGGAAAGCCAGAGGAATGCTACGTCACGAACGGAAACGAGAGAGAACGCATTCTAGGAACCCTAGCACAAATCGACCGCGCCGTCTCCACCACCTCAACATCCGACCCCTCGATCCCAAACGTCGAATTCTCCCTCTCGCTCGACGATCTGCCGCGGCGATCCAGGAAACAGGGAACATTCTTTGGGTACACCCGGAAGGAGGGTCCGGAGTACAAGGACATTTGGATGATGCCAAACTACGCGTACTGGGCGTGGAACTATACCCATGCTCCAAGCTGGAACAGCATCAGGAAAGAAATTGAGCAGAAGGAGACCGAATTGCCATGGGCGAAGAAGGACCCTAGGATCGTATGGCGGGGCAAGGTCAAGATGGCTAAGCTGAGGAAGGAGCTGGTCCGAGTCAGCGAAGGCAAGGAATGGAGCGACATCAAGCCTGTGGTCATCAACAACGCCAGCGACCCGCATACCAAGGACGTTATGAATCTGAGGCAATTCTGCGGGTAAGAGACAAAGCTGCGACATGGGTATGAAACCGTACTGACCGTCTTCTAGATACAAGTTCACCGTCCAAACCGAAGGTACCTCGTACTCCGGCCGCCTTAAGTACCTCCAGCTTTGCCGCTCAGCCCTCGTTACACACCCTCTCGAATGGCAAGAGTTCCACACTCACCTAATGAGGCTTGCTGGTCCCGACGTGAACTACATTGAAGCGTCCGAGAACTTTGGAAACCTCGAATCGGCTATGGAGTACTACCGTGCGCATGACAACGAAGCTGAGGAGATTGCAAAGAACAGTTACGAGACCTTCACCAGAAGGTATCTGACACCAGCGGCAGTGACTTGCTACTGGAGACGGCTGTTTTGGTCATGGGCGAGTGTACAGGGATATGAGCCACAGTTGTACGTACCTGACAAGGACGGCAATCTGGTCATGCGAGGTACACCATGGACTGCCTTTGCGGCCAATTGGCCCAAGGATCCTGCAGCTATTCCGTGAGCGGGAATAAGAAGTGTTAGGATAGGCGTTGCATGAGCATTTGGAGTACTTGGTTTTATGCTTACGATACCCGCGTTCAAGCGTTCCAATAGACACGCATTATTATCTACGTTTACAGTAGTCACTTGAGGCGGAGCTTTGTCCTTTTCAGTCGTGTTTTAGATGGCTTCGACCGCCTTTGTCCTGCATCATAGGATTCAAGCGAGTAATATAGGTCCATTAACCCGCACTCACATGCACATTTACCCTTGTACTAAACGTTGACGCTTGACGCCCAGCTGCGACTATAACGAGGATTTGTCTTGACTGCAAATCCTACTTCACGGGCTAGACTGAACCTGAATGATCTCTGGTGCACACCTGGGCAGCTGATCGGACAGCATGTTTGACCTATACCCTGATCTTTACCACTATATCTTGCAGTTTGGCGCACGCTCGTTTGCGGCTCAGGCTAGTGTGCCTAATTATGCATAAACACACGCACGCTGTAAGTTGATAAGATCCTAGAGCAGAGATTTTGATTGAGCGGGTAAGTATATAGAGAGAGGTGAGGTCGTTCTACATGAGGGTAATAGTACAAAGGACCAAAAGACAGTCGACAGCGCTGAGCTTTGCAAAATACATTAAGGAACGTCCGCAAACCACTTGTGCGCCAAAGCCTCAGAAGCTGTGATGCGTCGTTTCGGGTCCATACTCATCATCTTCATCAAAAGATCCTTCAGATCTTCGTCGAGATCGCTCCACAGGCAGAGTGGACGTCGCGGATAGTCTTCGCTGAAATTCGCCATCACGAAGTTCAGGTAGCCAATCCAGGGGCTATCTTCCAAGTAGGTGATCAACCCTTCCATATCTTCTAGGTCGCTGAAATATGAGACCTGACGTCGAACGACGATGGCCTCGATTGGATTGTCTTCTGTAGCCTTTTTTGGATCTACAGCGAGAACTGCTTCCTTTGTCACGGCGTATATGCACTGCGAAATTGAGTTACGTATTGAAGCACGATGCAAGTGGTAGGCCACTTACAACCAGACCAAAGGAGAACATGTCTGTCGGCTTTTGTATCGCTGCCGCTGCGTGCGCCTCTGGACTGCGCCACATCCAGTTTCCTCACTGCCTGCCACTGATGTAATGGTTATCCGGGAGGTGAACCATATCTTCCATGTCAGCAATCTGCACTTCTTTGACTTCAAGCTCCCCTCTTTGATCGTCCCAATCTAGCAATATGTTGTTTGGCTTTATATCGGTGTGCACCATCCCTTTGGCGTGTAGTGCTGCGAGGCCACGCAGAGCGTCTCGAAGGACGAGTTTTGTTGTGGGAAGCGGAACGTCTTTCTGAACGAAAGACAGTAGGTGGCCACGTCGGTATGGATGTATGAAAGTGCAATGTTCTGAGTCGGTGTCTTCGGCAACACGTACGTGAGGCGTACCGCGAAGAGTGTCAAACATGGTCTTGCAATGCTTGTAAGTTTTCTCAGGGACTGTCTTCAGTACGTACTTCCGATCCTCAGAGCTGTAAAAGACGTCAGACGAGTATCATGTTGTTTGTTTGGGATAGTGTCAACTAACGTGGCAAGATACACACGTCCATGGTTGCCCGGCCGATCTTGAAGTAGTCGTTCGACAACGTAACGGCGACCCGACTGCCCAATTACTCGCGTCAGGGCAGCGGCTCTTGCGATGGGAGCATTGGACATTCGTGTTGATAGTCAACAGAGTTGAACAGACCCAATGATTTGAGCTCTAGATGGCGACTTGTAGCAATGGAAGGCGCGTTCAATTGGGTAGCAACGAATGTGAGAGCGGACAAATCGTGATTCGAGACTGAACTGCACTAGTAGCGCTTGTATTGCAAAGATCTCACGTGCGTGTCAGGTCGTTGCCTGAAGATGACGCGCCCAGCGCCCACAGTCGTTACCCCAGACCCCTCATCTCGAAATCTCGCTAAACTCTGGGAGGCACAGTCGGGTTGCAGAAGAGAAGAGGCAGAGCAGCGGAAGACGTGGCAATGGGAGCAGACAGCGTATAGCAATCGCCTGCTGAAGTGCGAACGTAGTGCTAGACACAAACGATCGATGAACGTGTAGTGGCGTCTCTTCTCATCAACTTGATAGAGTGATTTGGCGCGTGCACACGTGCGCACGTGATTGCGCGCCTGACGTGCTGCGCCTCCTCCCCGATCTTTGCGACGGACATGCATCGACTCCACGACTACACGCCATCTCTAATGACGGTGAATAGGTACGCGCATGCTGCCAAACTTCAGGACCGCATGTCCCTCTCTTCACTAGACACTGTCCAGTTGCAAAGACCCGCATCGCGTTTCCCGCTGCTCCGCAACCCCACACTAGCCACTATGCCGCCCAAGGCAACACCGCCCGAATTCCCCGTACAGGCGTTTCCTACGTGTACAGATTTCGAAACCTTTCTCGAGCGCGAATATGCCACGGCTCCCGGCCTCTACGTGAAGCTCGCCAAAAAGAATTCTGGCACACCCTCAATAACGGCAGCGGAAGCCGTCGAAGTAGCGCTATGTTATGGCTGGATAGATGGTCGCGCCAACGCCTGCGATGAGACCTGGTGGACGGTACGCTACACACCTCGGAGAGCGAACAGTATGTGGTCTCAGAAGAACGTCGGGACGGTGGCCCGTCTCATAGAGATTGGCCGGATGCGTCCCGCTGGCCTGGCAGCCGTTGATGATGCGAAAGCAGACGGACGATGGGATCGTGCGTACGCAGGGTCTGCTACAATCGTTGTGCCTGAAGATCTCAAGATTGCGCTTGCTCAGGTACCTGCTGCGGAAGCTCAATGGGAAAGCATGAACAAGGGCGATCGATACACAGCGTTGCTCAAGGTAGAGACAGGTACAAAGGCCGGAAGACCCAAAAGAATAGAGAGCATAGTTCAAGCGCTGGCAACAGGGAGACGCTCAAGTAGTGGTACTACTGCAGACAGGACAGCTCGGAAGGTTGCCAAGAGAGCTGAAAAGAACAGCGCGAACGCTGAACCCCACATGCAAAAAACAGCACCTTCACCCCTACGAACAGGACTGCGACGATGCAGGGACTGAGATCTCCTCCTAGTTATGCTCATAAGTGTACAACAATCGACGAGTATGCGCCCACAGCATGGCGGTGCAAAAAAGTTGGACATTTTGGCAAAAACATACAACAGCGGGGTGTCGTCTGTGTTACATGACTGCCAAGGATGGCATGTGCTAGGTATATAGTGGGCCTATCCTATCTTAGTTAGCTTGTAAGACTTATACATTAATTTACACTCTACACATACTATAGAATAGTAGCTATCTTAAATTGCTAAGTCTCTCTACTTTTAGCCTAGTACTACAATCTATTCTAAGCGCGTTATCTCTGCTTTTCTTACAGTCTAACTGCATCGCTAGAGTAGCATAATATTACTTATATTACGCCTACGCTTTTAAACTAAGGTTAAGATTATACTATAAACTACAAGAAACCTAGCAACCTCTACTATCTTCTCTCTACTATACGTATAACTATAACGCTGCTGTAAGTTCTAGCTTTGTTCTTTAACAACATTAGTACATTTTATATAACGCAACTATAAGGCAGTTACAGCCTTACTAGCTTTCTCTTCTTCTATAATATTATAAGTGTTTAATCTTTCTTATAATAAGCTAGAGCATGTATACTATAATCTTTTTCTCTATAGAATTACTTGTTAGGCTTCTTACTACTTTAGGCAGATTAAGGTAGCTACTACAAACGCACTTACCTATAACTTCTACGCTCTTCTCTTAATACACTATTTTCTAACTACTTTTCTTGTTTTATTACTACGCCTACTAACTAGGCTAGATATTAACCTACTCTTTCTACGTTAGTCTTAAACGCCTACTAAGCTTTATAGAACTACTTCTTATTTAGAGACACTCTACTAAATACCTCTTCTCTACGCTATAATCTAGTAAGAGCACAGCGTAAACATAATACGTAGGCACTTTGCTTACTACTACTAGGTATAAAGACAACCTTGTTATTAACTCTTAGAGAAGACTTCTACACCTTACACTTTCTTGTCTCTAACTCTAAATTTACAACCTTACCTCTTAACTCTACTAGCAAGTTTTTTTCTAGTTTAAACTAGCTAAGTATATTAAACTATAAAAAGCCTATTACAGAGTAGCTACTATTAGGCTACCGCTGCTTAAGTAAACTACACTTATAGATTCTTTGCTTTCTACTTTACTTTAGCTATTTCTTATAACTTATTACTCTATATTCTCTAACTCTCTAGCTATTGCAATAATAAACGTTATCTACGCGTATAATATTATTACCTACTACTATAGTGCCTCTTAACACGCTGCTCTTATACCTAACACTAATTTTTAAGTTACCTAAGCAATTATTAAGTTGTATAAAACGCCTACTACCTTTAAGAACTATTCTCTTCTAGGTATATTACTACCTTAATAGAGAACTCTATTAATTCTCTCTCTAAGATAATCTTTCTTTAAAAATAACTCTAAATAAAGGTATTCTTAAAACTAGGTAGCTAGTATTAAAGAACTTGCTATAGTACAACGCAAGGTTATAAAGAAAGTTAACATCTTTAGACAGAATACTACTAAATTCTGCTCTTTGTCTACCTTAAAGGCTTAGAAACTACATTAATATTAACTTACTGTTGCATAACTAGCTTCTATTATACCTATCTTACTATCTACAGCAGCGCCTTATATCTCTCTACTTCTAGCGCTACTTCTATTATAACCTACACTCTTCTATTCTGTATTAGTCCCTCTACTACTAGACTCGCTAGCTTCTTAAGAGTCTTACTGTAGCTTCTTATATTTCTACACGTCTATTACTAATTCTTTTACTAATACTCTCTCTTTCTTAACCCTCTATAAGTCTATCTAGAACAACACTAACTTAGAGTCTCTTTACAGCGTTGCACTCTCGCTAAGACGCTTCTACATTTTGTTACCCTCTATAGCTAACACTATTATACACTAACTAACACGCTCTCTATCTTAGAATATATTAGAATCTATTAAACTACTTTTTAGAAACTAGAGAAGACAGCGTAACTTAAGAGCCTAGTAAGAGAAATCTTCTTAACAGACCTTAGAAATTACAAACTAATCTAGTAGAATAGTTAAACCTAATAAGTAATAGAACTCTCTAGCACCTCTACAGTAGGTATAACAACTACTACCTTCTACTATACGCGAACTGTTTCTACGCAAGCTTACATAGAAGAACTCTACCTTATATACTACTATCTCTGCATAGCTTACTAGAAATGCCTCTTCTTCTCTACTCTCTTCTAATCTCTACGTCTCTAACCTACTAGATACTCTACTAAATCTTATATTACGTCTATATAACTATCTAAATAAGCCTTAAGGCTACTACTAAAACTTACAGCTCTAACAGGCTAGCTAACTAATACTACTATACAGTTTTAATAATTTATCTTATAGCTACTTGCAACTGCTACTACTCTACTTATCTTAGAATACTTAGTTATATTAGATTCTGCCTTCTTAGCTATTCTAGATTTCTAGCGCTTATAGTTATTAGCTTCTTAACTAGCACCTGTATACTTAACCTGCAGATCCTCTTCTAGCGCAGAATAGTCTACCTCTACATATCTCTAAGGCCCTTACATAAGGCCTACTTAACCTAGTAGAGATATTATAAGAACATTATGCGTATGTACTAACCTAGTAGCCTTTACGCACTAGATATCTACCTACTAAAGATTATTATAATAAGTATATATTAGGTAGCGCTGCACTTACTCTACTTTAGTATTTCTAATAGAAGTTTCTGCCTACTTAATACGTAGCACATAGATAGTATAAGCGTATTTAGAATAATAGCTTTTACTAGCTAGGCTTTAATAACTACCTACTTTCTTATTATAATATCTAAACTACAGTAGCTAGGCTACAGCAGTACACTCTCTATACGCTAGCTTTGTTCTAGCATAACATTAATTACTAGAGCCTTATACCTAAGTAAGCTAAGATCTTAGATAATAACGCTATAATTAAGGCTATAGAGGGCTCTCTTAAGTTTGCTCTAGAGTAAGTTAGTTATTTCTAGCTAGACATGCCTAAAGACTAGTACCTAGACAACGTAGTTAACCTCTCTAGCAAGATCTACTTTTATAATATCTATAACTTTATTAACTCTGTAAAAGTCTATATTATAGTAAACATAATAGTAGAGTATATAGTCTAGAACTACTTATACTAGTGCTTTAAGAGAACTGCTCTATTATAGTATTAATTAAATTTTAACGTTAAGCGCTATATATTTGTTATTGCTAGCAAGAGACTTAATTACTAGAAAGAGAAGCTATAACCTTTCTAGATTTAGCTAGCACTTGCTATGCAGAGTCTATAGAAGAAGCGTTTTACTCTAAAGAACTTACTTTTAGGCTATTCTCTAGCTAAGTAGTTTCTCTAAGTTAAGCGTCTCTATTAAAACGCTAGATATAGCTACAACAATAATAACCTCTACGTTACCTATGCATAGAACCTTCTTAATACTTGTATTTAGGTCTATCTTTATAATAACGTTTCTATAATATTATTAGACAACTTTCTCTTTATACTTAAGGCACGTAAATACGTTCTTAAAGAAGTTTTTTAATCTAACGTAAATAATAGTAAGTAGACTCTTTCTTGTCTAAATAATAGCTAAGGCTATAGAGGTTTAAATAACCTAGCGCAAGGTAACGCTAGCAGAGCCCCTTATTAGCAACTCTAAGTTTCTACTTCTCTAGGCAATAGTTATTATAACAATAGTAATTAGCGCGCCTATAGTAGTAACTCTAATACTTACGCATAGTAAAATAAAAGCGAGCCTCTATAGTAGAATAGAAATAGTAACTAGAGCTAGTTAAGCAGGTCTATATTACACTCTTACTAAGCCTAGAGTAGTAGTAGCTGCAATAATATCTAGCAAGGTAATAGCTAGCGCTAGAATAGTTTCTACTCTAGTAGCAGGTCTTAATTATATAACAAGGTCTAGAGTGCGTACTTTAACTACAACCTTAGCTCTAATAAGCCTAGCGTTACTATATAATTTCTACTCTTGCGCTATAACACCTTAGCTTATTCTCTAGCTTTATTTCTAGAAGAACTACTATTACTATATAATAATTAAGCTGCTATAATATTATAGTATTAAGAAGAGAGCTCTTTTAATAAACTCTCTATACTACTAGACTAATTGCCTAACTCTAGCTGCCTCTCTAGTAATAAAGATTGCTTCTTAGATAATTCTAAAGATTACTATCTCTTAGCTTAGGCGCAAGGTAATAAACACATATATTCTAACTATAAGAATAATAATAATAGGCATTTGTACTTTGCTAGTTATGTTATAGTTCTATATAATAAGAATACTGCTTAGCTAGCCTAGTTATTCTCTTACTATAACTATACTTAGGTTTTTGTTTTAAATAATAAGCTATATTAGCACATCTACAAAAAACACTAGAGTAGCTAGGCCTAAGTTAACATTGCTTATATCTATACTATTACAATAACAGTGCCTAGTGTCTCTTAGAGTTTCTAGCTACTAATTAACAACCTAGCGACTCTAGAGCGCTCTAAGCTCTAGCGTTTACGCGTAGTAAAGTCTACTGCTCTAGCGCTAGTTAATAGTGTAGCTACAGTGCAGAATTAGTATAAGATAAAGCTTGTTGTCTGTAGTAGCAAAGACAGACCTAATCTTACTATTATTCTAGATACTAGCGCAGCAATTAGCCTTACTAATAAGGTTTTTATTAAATAGCACTTTCTAGGCGCTTTATATAAATAACTTAAGAAACCTACCTACTACACTAGCGCAGAACTAGAAAGCATGCGTACTACTAAGATAGCTTATCTTACACTTTACGTACCTTTAGTTCTTAAGTCTAGCGAACACGTATATATACTATAGCGCGTCTAAGTTTACATTGTTAAACAACTTAGCCTAAACATGCTTCTTAGTATAGACACCTTAGTGCTATAAAACGTTGTTTTAAATATTAAGAAATATACTATAATATAGCTGCTCT